TTGTGATGGAGGTGGCAGAGGCTGGGGCTGGCTGCTGAATGTGGATGGGTTGCAGAGCTGGTGTGGCTGGGGCCAGGGCAGCTGAAGCTGGAAAGGCCTTTACTTGCTTGGCCAGAAGCTGCTGCTGGATGTGTTGCTGAGCGGCCTGCTGGAGCTTACTGTACTTCTCCATCTCCTCAGGGGTGAAGGTGATGGGCTGGCTCTCCAGGGGGGCCAGTGAAGCATCTTCAGCCCCATCTGCCGACTCGATACTAGGCTCCCCACTGGGAGGTGCATAACTGGGGAAGTGCTCAAGGTCTGGTGCTATAGGCAGCAAGCTGGATTCCACAGGTCCTGGCTGACTACCACTATCTAGGGACTCTAGGGTGTCCCCATCACTGGGGTCAGGGAGGTAGTTATGGGAGATGGTTGGGTCCCCAGGGTAGCAGTCAGAATGTGCAGGGGTGCCTAGTGGAGCCACAGGGTGATCAGCAGAAGCTTCTTCAGACTTTGGCTCTTCAGGAGGTGGGTCTGATAAGGGGCCAGCTGTTTCCTCTGAGGGAAACTGATGTCCAAATGGGGTATCACTACTCCCTGGGGGCCCCTCTTCCGTCTCTGACTGTTCTTGTTCTTCCCCCCTTTCCAAGCCAGACTCTTCACATTTCTTGTTGTTGGGCTTTCGGGTAGTTGGAAGCTTCCCTATCAGTGGAAGAACAGGCTTATTGCCAAGAGATGGGGGAAGCTTGGGCCCAAAGTAACCTTGTGGGGGGTCTTTGAGCTTGAGTCCAGCTTTATTAGGGGTGGCCAGCACCTCCTCACTCACACTGGGTTTTCTCTCCACTTTCCTAGACTGAATCTTCTCCAGCAGCAGTTTGGCAGTGACTGAGTTCTTGTCTTCAGGGCTGCAGTCACTTTCTGATCCCCTCCCTGTACCAGTGTTGCTGTTCTGGGAGGGTGGGCCTGTCCCTTTACTGTCATCTCCTCTGCCATCATCTTTCTTCCCAGTTCCTTCGCCCCGGCCTGATCGGAAATAGTGGGGAGACTGGGAGCGGTAGATCTTAGAGCGAATGAAGTCCCGATGCCCAGAGCGTCTCTCCTCAGGGCTCTCGTGACCCCATGATCCCTTCCTGGAGCTTGATCTCTGGGAAGGGCTCCTGGTGCTGCGGCTTCGGTCTCGGCTATAGCTCCGACTCCGTTGCCAGCTGTGGGCTGTGGTGCTGCGGCTTCTCCGCTTGCTTCGGCTGCGACTACAACTGCTGCTCCGGCTGCGGCCCCGGGATCTTGAGCGTTCTCTGGTGTGACTACGAGATCTGCTTCGGGACTGGCTGCAACTGAGACTATAGTCATCATCAGATGATGAGTATTTATGCCGTTTGGACCGGTGCTTGGAGCTGGCATAGTCTGAGTCATCAGAATCATGGGAACGCTTGGAGTGCCTTCGTGATCGGTCACTATAGTCACTGTAGCTGTCATCAGAGTAACTGTGTTGTCTACTATAGCAGCTCTGGTCTGAAGAAGCTTCTGAGCTACTCGAGTAAGAATGTCGGGAGGAACGGTGTGAGGAATGGCGCCGGCCAGACCGTGAGCGGCTCCGGGAATGCTCACTGCCTGAGTCTTCCTCCTCCTCTTCCTCCTCCTCACTGTACTGGGATGGAGACTTCTGATGCAGCCGGCGTGATGAAGCGTCATCACTATCCTCATCTCCACTACTGGGTCGGCTCCGATGACTAGACCGGCTGCTCCTTTTGGTGCCAGCTCTTCGCTGGCAGGAAGAGGCTGAAGGTTCACCTTTGTGTTTCCTCCCACCGTGATCTTGGGAGCTGCTACCACCCCCACCTTCATCCTTCTTGCCACTGTTCCCTTCCTCAGCTGGGAGGGATCTCCGCTGGGAGTCATCTTGAGCTCGTCGTCGTCTTCTAGGTGGGGCAGGGCTGCCACTCCCAGGGGGTTCTGGTTTGGGTCCTCGTTCAGAATCTGCCGGAGCTGATGACTTATTCTTCTTTCGTTTTCGTTTCTTGCGCTTTTTAGACTTCTCTCCAGACTCTGCCTTAGAGCTTTTCTCTTCCGTGTCAGCCTTGTGTTTCCGTTTGTGTTTGCTGGATTTTTTGTGCTTCTTTTTCTTTTTGTGTCGGTGAGACTTTCCAGATCGTTCTTTCTTGCTAGGAAGGTTTCTTCCTGTATCTTCTGTCTCTGACCCGTGACTGCCTCCAGGCTCCTGCTTGTTCAGGCTGCTACAGGTAGAACCTGAAGCAGGGGCGTCCACTCTCCCTCCTGATGGACGTACTACATTCTCCTCCTCCTCTTTGCTTTTATTTGGCTCACTAGAGTCAAGGCCTTGTAGACTGTCCTTTGAAGTGCTTCCTACATCTTTTGGTTTTTCTGTCCCTTTAGCTCTGTTATCTTTGTTCCTTGAAAGTTTAAAGTCAAAGTATAAAGGGTTACAACTGTATGAAATGGAAGGTTCTGCCTTGGTGAAAATTAGTAGTTCTGACGGCCACTGGAGGGCAGTGCTTTCATCTTTGCTCAAAACTGGAAAGAAAGGACCAGTAGGATGTTTGGGGCCCTCCTGGCTTTCTTTCCCTGCTGGGGTGGCCTGAGAGGTTTCTTTAGAAGGGTTAGACTCACACGTTTGCATCTCTGAAGCCTTCTGACTCGGACTCTCTAAGCCCTGCTCACTTACATCCTCTCCTGAGGCCTTTTTTGTCTCAGCTTTGCTTCCAGGCTCTGAGGGCTCGACCACACCAGTTTCCTTTTGCTCAGAGATTTCACTAACTGTTTTTTCTGGTCCTTGGCTTGCTGTTGCCTTGACACAGCCTTTTGGCTTAGGAGAGCTGCTTTTTTTGCTTTCTGGAGCATTCTTCGGGGGTGTACTATGATCACTTTCCATTTGTTCACTGGCTCTCATAAAGAGTAGAAAGGGGAAATTAGGCTTTACTTTGCAGTGTGCTGGGGGGATGTAGTGGTAATACTCTGGCTCTGTAGCCCCGGCTCCTTCTTCTCGTTTCATCCTTTTTAACTTGGATAGTGTTGAAGCAAGGGACCCTCCATCCTGAGGGTCCTCATCCTCCTTTTTACCATCAAGATTACTACTACCATCAGAGTCTCCAATCTTCTGCAGTCCTTGGTCAGATCCCTTCTCATCAGTTTTTGTTCCATCTTCAGAGGTCCCTTCTTCTGCATGGTCCTTGAAAACTGATGCTATTGATTCAAGTTTGACAGGAGCCTTCTTAGCAAAAGAAAATGACACTCCCAATTTTTGTAGTGGGGTCCCCAGATTATTCTTAATGCCAAAGCTGATGCCTTGAGAGGGTAACCCAGGAGCCTGTGCCAGTCCAGTGGTATTAGTGATCTGTACTGTGGTGAAAGGACCTCCTTTATCTGTGGAGAAATCAGCTCCCAGGCCACAAGTGGCAGAGGCGCCCGAGCCACTGTTTGTAGCTGATTCATCCTTATCATCATCTCCACCTTCTTCATCTACAGCCACTGTGGTTGGTCTGAACATGGGACCACTTCCAGGTGCACTACACAATAGTTTAGAAAAAGGAAAAACAAAAAACAGGTTTAGGGACAAATTTCATCCATTTTATAAAATGATCATCTCATACGTTCTACCATTCATCACAAGTAGTTCTCAAAGACAATGTATAGTAGTTATTCCCCAACCCTGTGCTAGTGAATAAAGCTTTCTCAGTATAAGTCGGGCAAAGTCTTATTCCATTAACCTACCAAGATAAATTCTCAAGACAAGTCAGTTGTTGCTGTTTCTTAAGCAGTCTAAAATACAGAAAATAAGACTTATCTTGCAACTCAAATACTCCATCAATAACATCTGGTTCCATCTACTTCAGCCAGATCTCAGTTCTTTTTACATTACCCTATGTATGGCTGTACATCTATTCACAAAGTATACTGCACTCAGGTCACGAAGAAAAAAAGTCTAAAGTTCCCTATGCTTTTAAATTTTATCTTCTGAAAACATTTATTTTGGATTAAACATAGCCAGAAATCTCCACTGCACCATGTTATGGCAGTATGTAGTCAGCCTGTTTTAGAAAATATAAGGTCTGGGGAGCAGATGGCGTAATGGTTACATCGCTGGACTACCATGTAATCAAATGCAGTGCAAATCCCAGATCCAGTGGCTTAAAACTCACACCAGGCGTGTGTGTACATGTTGCCAAAATCCTGAGAAAGGGATCACAGTGTGGCCATCCCCTCTGAGGGATGCTTTCTTGCTTTCTGGCTCTGTCTCTCCAGCAAACGCATGCACTCTGTAGTAAAAAAAATCTCTTACAAAAAGAGAAAAGAAAATACGAAGTCCGTGTCTATCTCCTGTGCACCACACCGAAGCATTTGCTTTGGTTTTGATACTTTCTGGGCATTCAGTGCAATGGTCATAATTCTTTTTTTTAAGAGGTTTATGCCATAGGGCATATGCACTCTCCAGAGAGAGAGAGAAACAGAGATGGCAAGAAGGAAAGTGAGAAATCACTTCCCAGAGGGAATGGCCACAGTGCAATCCCTTCTCCTCCGGGGATCTTGGGCACTCGTGTACATGCACCTGGTATGGTTTTCAAGTCACCGTGTCCAGGACTTGAACAATTGGCCATGTGGGAGTCCAGCAACATAACCACTATGCCATCTGCTGGCCCCAATGACCATAATTCTTTCCTTTTTTTCTTTTCCTAGAGAGATTCTGATAAAGGGTGCGTGCACTCGCCACAGAAAGAGAGAGACACAGAAAGAAAGAAATCACCCCCAAAGGAGGATGGTCACACCACAATCCCTTCTCTTCCATTCTCCTCTCAGGATCTTGGACATGCACACACATGCACCTGGCATGAGTTTCAAACTGCTGGGTACGGGACTTGAACCATGGTTGACCATGTGAGAGTCTAGAAACATAACCACTTTGCGATCTGCTAGTCTTCCAATGGTCTTAATTCTACCAAGCACTCTTTTAGCTCTGACAACAGAACAATGAGGAGTGTCAATGCTAGTGTGTGTGTATTTATTTTAGTTTTGAATAATTATTCATGGGACAGCAGGTGTCATGGTGGTTGGGCTGCTGGACTCTCACATGGTCGACTGCTGTTTAAGTCTTGGATCTGGTGGCTCAAATTTCATTCTCTCTGTCTCTGTCTCTCTCTCTGGTGAGTGCACCCTCACCATCCTAAAACAAACAAATCTTTAAAAAATAAAAAAGGTATTATTCATCTAATTTTACTTATTATTCTTCTTCAGTCTGACCAGAAAGAAACACAGACATAGAGGAAGAGAGAGAGACAGAGAATAAGCTACCAGGTTTGGAGCTCGAACTGTAGTTAGCTATGTGGGAGTCTGGCACCTTAGCCACCAAACCACATGCTGGCCCCAATGCTAGTGTTTTAAACTGTCTATCTTGCCTGAAATTTTTATAGAATGTAGCTTTTCAAATATTCCTTGAATTCCAAACTCAAGAACTAAACAGAATTAGGGGCCAGACGGTATTACAATGATAAAACAGAAAGCTCTGCAAGGCTGATCCCATGGAAAGGTTCCAGGTTTGTGCCTGGGAAGTCCCTGAACATGGCAGGAATGTGTATGGCTATGACCCAAGGCTGGCTGAGGGCTGGGGGTGAAGTATAGCATAAAGATCTTGCTAGGGAGGCTCACTCTCCGTGTCACAGGTAAAAAATACTTAAACAAAACAAAACAAAACAAAACAAAAAAAAAACCCTCAAAACCGAAAAACAAAAAATGGAGGACCAGCATATGGTGTAGTTGTTAAGCGTGCTGGACTCCCACATGACTTACTACAGTTCGGGTCCCAGACCTGGTGGCTTGCTTTCTCACTTTCTTTCTCTCTGCTTTCTCACTTTCTCTCTCTTTCTCTGTCCCTCTTTGGTCAAATTGAAATAAATAAATAAATAAATAAATAAATAAATAAAGTTAAATAAAATAATTCTTTGGAAAAGAAGGGGGAAAAGAACATTTAAAAAGCAGGAACTAGGCCCAGTAGATGGCGTAATAGTTATGTTGCTGGACTCCCACGTAGCTGACTACGGCTCTAGTCCCGGACCTGGCAGCCTAAAACTCATGCTGGTTACATGTGTACATGCCCAAGATCCAGAGTGGAGAATGGAGGAGAAGGGATTGTGGTGTGGCCATCTCTCCTGGGGGGTGATTTCTTGCTTTCTGTATCTCTCTCTTTCTGTCTCTCTGGTGAGCACAACTGCCCTATGGCAAAAATCTCTATCTTATTTTCTTTGTTGTTATTACTTATTTTTTAAATTTTACCAGAGAGAGAAAGAGAAAGTGAGCAAGCAAGTCACCAAGTCTGGAACTTGAACCCTGGTTGGCCGTGTGGGAGTCTAGCACCTTTACCACCACGCCATCTGCCAGGCCCCAAATAAATAATTTTTTTTTTTAAAAAGGAAGCAGTTACGATACTTCCATCTGTGCCCCAATACATTTTATTAATAGTTATAAAATAGAATACTCTGTTTCTCTATAAGAAAAGAATGTTTGAAAATGAAAATAATACTGGCATCATTTATTCATTTACTGTGAATCTTCATATGCTAGGCACTCTTCCCCCCCACCCCCATTTCAGGTTTTTTGTCATAGGACACGTGCATTCACCAAAGAAAGAGATAGCAAGACAGAAAGAGGGAAAGTAAGATGATATCCTCCAAGGGGGATGGCCACACCACAATCCCTTTTCCTCCATTCTTCTCTCAAGATTTTAGGCGTGCACGCACACTCGCCTGGCACAATTTTCAAGCCAATAGGTCTGGGATTTGAACTGTGGTCAGCCATATGGAGTCCAGCAGCTTGACCACCATGCCGGTGGCTAAGCACTCTTTTAAGTACTTCTGATGTAGTAACTCAATTACAACTCAACAACGACCTTAAGAAATACACATATATTTTTTGCTATAGGGCAGGTGCGCTTGCCAGAGAGACAAAGACAGAAAGACAGAAAGCGAGAAATCACCCCCCGGGGGGATGGCCACGCTGCAATCCCTTCTCCATTCTCCTCTTGGGATCTCAGGAATGCACGCACACGCACCTAGCACAAGTTTAAGCCACTGGGTCCAGGACTTGAACCGCAGTTGGACTACATAGGAGTCCAGTGACATAGCCATTACACCATCTGCTGGTCCCAAGAAATATATATTTTTTTAAAAAACAAGAGTTATTTAATTTTGTTGCTGTTATTATTATTTTTTTAATTTGACCAAGGAGACAGAGGACAAAAAGGGAAAGTGAGAAAGCAAGTTGCCAGGTCTGGGGCTCAAACCATGGTCAACCATGATATAAACTGTTATTATCACCGTATTACAGATAAGGAAACTGAGGCACAGATTTTAGATATAACTTTACTAAGTCACATAAATAAATAGGATAGGGCATAAAAAGTGCACATACTCAAATCAGTATATTACTCTCCAACTACAGATATGCTTTTAGTTTGAAAGAACTACGTACTAAGAATCCTAAGGGGCCAACTCAGTAGTTCAGGAGTTATATGCTGCTCAGTGATGCTGGACCCATACAGCAGATTGTGGGTTTGATTCCCCAGTCAAACTGTACATACAGTTACATGCCCATGAACTTGGCTGGCTGGGAGGACTAGGGGTAGAAAGGGGACTGTGGCATGAGACTCTGTTGAAGGCACTTATCTCTTTCTCTCTCAGTCTCATGAAAGCAACAAACAAACTTAAAAAAAAAAAAAAAAAAAAAATGAATTTTTAAGCCTGGCCCAATCACAGTGGCACAGGTGGTAAGGTGCTTGCATGATACTGGAACTACACGGGAGACCCAGCTTTGAATTCTGGGTTGATCTGAACATGCCAGGAGAACCCACAGCATGCCTATGATCCTGCCTGGCTAAAAGGTTTGGAGGAGACTCACAGTGTGCTAAGACTCTGTCTCAAGGGTACCTGTCTCTTATTCTTTCTCATGAAAAAAATCAAAAACAAAAACAAAACTCAAGGTTTATATATATCCTATTTTTAAAAGAATTGCTTAATTTATCATTATTAATATTTTTAAATTTGTTACAGGATATGCACACTCAACAGAGTGAGATAGAGAGATAGAGAGAGAGAGAGGAAAAGCAAGCTGCCAGGAACTTGTACCACAGTTTGCCATCTTGGAGTTCAGTGCCTTAACCATCTGCTAGTCCAAGGCTTATATTTCTTAAATCTTACTTGAAATCTTAAATTATAGTCTTAGATCTATGCTTAAATAATTTTTAAGAATTATTTGATTTATTATTATTAAATATGCTATCAGGAGTGTGTGTTCACCAGAGACAGACAGAGAAAGAGACAAAGTGAGAAAGCAAGCTGCCAGGTTTGGGGCTTGAACCATGGTAGGCCAAGTAGGAGTCCAGTGCCTAACCACCTGCAGGCCCCTATGTTTAAATCTTAAGGACTGTAATTATTATATTTATAGACCCTTCTAAGAGAAAATATCCTTACCATTCAGCTTGTTTTCTTTGCTCTGCCAACTCATGTAGCCGCCGAAGGGCTTTTTCTTGTTTCTTCTCATCCTTGCGGGATCTTGAAGAGACATTTCGAGCAAACTCCCTCTGCTTGAGATCTTTTAATCTCTGGGGTAACAGAAAAAAAGGAACAGAGGATTTAGAGTAACTTGGGAATCTGAAAGCAAAGCCTTTAGAATGCTTATAATACTACTATACACTGTATTACTATATTCTCTTATGGTAACTGAAAACACAATGGCTGATTACTTTGGGCATAACACTTGGAGTATTTGCATTTCTAATTATGACAGCATATCATTTGCTTTATTGGGCAAAATAAAATGATTTCAGAAGCAACAAGCAAACTTCAGAACACTGGGAAGAAAGAAAAGGGACTATTTAGTCACCTGCTCTTCCAGGATGCAAAACTAGACAAACAGAACATAAGATAAATTGCAATACACAGGCCAAAGAGAACGGAAAGGGGTTAGGCTAGTACAGAAAATTACCCAGGTATAAGATCTTAAAAAGCAATGTACAGCTTACATGGGAGTTTATTTGAATCAGAACAAACAAATAAAAAATCATACTTTTATTTCACCATAAAAAGGTGTTATTCTTTTCAGCATGAACAGAAGTTTCCTGTAACTACAAAACAAACCCGAGAGAGGTCTTCCAATGCTAGCGCATGTTCAGAGCTCACCAGCCTGACCACTTTCACCTGGTCAGTCTGCTGAAATTAGAAAGTAATATGTGTAGCTTTTCGTTCCTTCATGGCCCTGAGAGGAACATCCAGGGAATGAGGAGGAAAACAGATGTAAGTCAGAGATTTTATTACTTAGAATTCAGATAATAGGATAAGTCTTTTATTCTCAGAAGCTACTGTATAATTTTCCTTACAACAAAACAAGAAAAGGAACAATAACAGCAACCAAAAAAGAACAGTGCCATGACACACTGGTGAAAGAGTCCAGACTTATCTCTCTGCAATGAAGACAGAACTAAAATTATTTCCAACACACTAAGTAATATAAAAAACAAACAAAACATATACATTAGCCTATGCTTTACAACAGCATTGGGAAAAGGAGTTTTACCCAATATAAAGTGGACATTGCTTTGTGGAAAGGCATGATGTTCAACAGACAGAGGAATTTTCTTACCTAGTATTATGAAATGTGTTTTGAATATTTCTGAATTGGGAGGGGGGAAGGGTAGAAAGACACACACAAAAAAAGATATACAGCTAAAGACACTAGTAGAAAAACTCACTCTTGTGATCTGGGCTCCCAAATTAGAAGGATTTGCTTTCAATACATCAGCTGAAAATGTCACATCACAAAGAAAAAAAAGTAAAAAAAAAATAAACAAAAACAAAAAAAATAAGAGTGGAAGAGAAAAAAAAAATAAAGCAAGCATTACTACATATGCTCTCTTAGTGAATCTGTAAACTATTAACTGAATAATCAGGGACAAAGCCATGAGCTCTAAGAGGACTGGGGAGAAGGAGGCACCTGTACAACATATACATGTGTACATAGAATGGACTGACACGGTAATCCCATCTAGGTCAATGGGGGCAATCTGTACTTCTTTCACAAAAAATGGACATAGAACCTTGGAAGAGCACTGCTGTCTAAAAGCAATTAGTATTGTTTTCATTTACCTGTATTTGGGGAAGTTCAAGTAACCAACAGCTAACAAAACTATTGCTGAGCCTGTCTGTACACAAATAACATTTTAATAATGCCACTTCAAGATGGAGGATCAACTATTTTAAGTAAAAATGAATACCAATGTCCTCTTCTGAGGGAAATGGTACAGAGAAAAATGACCCATCAGGTCCATTATAGGATTATTTTGCAAGTCAAATCTAATTTTTTCTTCCCTAAACACCTAATAGGATCCCTAGGCAAGATTTATATAGAATATGTGTTTTTCTCATATCTGCCATCTTCACTCCTGCCACCTCACAACCTGTAAAACCTCCCCAGGAACAGTCATTTCTTCCCCTCTTACAAATATTCCATGACTTTTAGGAAGTGTATCTCAAACTACAGAATACTGCTTATAAGAACAATAACATTATCAAAGTATGGAGTCTGCAGGCTGAGTCAGACGAGACTTTTTTTTTTAAATGTCAGAAGATGTGTGCACTCACCAGACAGCTGTGTATGTATATGTAAGAGAGAGACAGAGAGAGAAAACACCCTCCCATGGGAATGATCATGCTGTAATCTCTTCTCCTCCACCTCTCCCTCCTTTTAGGAAGTTTTTGGGCACATGTGCGCCCACATTGTTTTTCAAGCCACTGACTTCAACTACACAGAAGGCCACGTGGGATCCATCCAACTGAACCACCACAACACAAGCTGGCCTATGATTAGGCTTTCTAATCACTCAGCAGCAATACGGTAGTATATCCTTGAAATCAAATACATATGCCTATGTCTACAGCCTTGTACAGACGATCTCGCCTCAAATTTCTACCACAGGTGTATAGCTGGGAGTTAAGAACAGAAGGAAATGGGATGATGGCAATAAAACAAACTCAAAGTGCAGACCCTCTTAGCAAAACCTATCCTGTTACCCTAAGGTCCAGCATATCCTCCCATATCACCTTTACAAACTTTAAAGTCAAGTATGGGGTCTCAAAAGTCATATTGGAAATCTCAAAAACTCTAACCCCAGCCTCAGAGTGTAAGGGTTCAGCAAACCCTCCCAAACCCAATATGTATATTTAAGTCTTTCCCAGATAAGGGCATTCTGATGATGAAAATGGCAAGGCATAGGTTTTAAGGTCCATGGCGTCCTTTACCTAGAATGGATATCCTTTTTCCTCAAGACTTATAATTCCCCCTCACAGAATTTCTACCAATCTCTCATAGAAGACAGAATTCTTCTTCTTCTTTTTTTTTTTTTTTTTAAAGAGAGATTTTGGCTATAGGGCACATACACTCACCGGAGAGACAGAAAGCAATAAATCACCCCCTAGGGAGGATGGCCATGCTGCAATTCCTTCTCCATTCTCCTCTTAGGATTTTGGGCATGTACGCACACACTCCTGGCATGAGTTTTAAGCTGCCAGGACTTGAAGCACAGTCAATTACGTGGGAGTCCAGTAATGTAACCATTATGCCACCTGCTGGTCCCAAGAACTATGCTTTCTAAACTGTCATCATTCTGCTATAGCACTTATTTACCAACTATCATATTATGCTCTTTGATCAGTTAGTTCCATCTTCTGGAAAAGCTGTATAGAATGTGGAAAAGTTTCAGAGTCAGAAAGTCTAGGGTCTACATCCATTAATTACTAAATCAAGTGATTTCACTTCTCTAAGCTCCAGTTCCTTTATTAGAAAAACAGTGGTATACATCAAAGGGTTTGTCAGAGTAAATGTCAAAATGAATGGAAATAATTTAGTAAGTCACAACTATTCAATGCTGCTTCCTCTTCGTACAGGACAGGGACCATGGCTTATTTTTACAATCAGTCATAGCATAAGGAGCAGTTTTAAGAAAACAGAGATGTCCAGTATAATAATCTGATTTAAACATTGGAGTTTTGTTTTTTACCCCAAATACATTTTTTTAAAGAATTTTTTATTTAACTTTATTATTATTATCATTGTCATTTTCCAGTTTGATCAGAGAGAGACAGAGAGAGAGAGGAAGTGAGAAAGCAAGCCACCAGGTCCGAGACTTGAACCATGGTCGGCCATGTGGGAGTCCAGCACTCTTAACCACTATGCCACTTGCTGGCCTCCCCCAAATACATTTTTCTACTATTTGTAGAAAAGACTAATATGAACTATTCCCACATCTCTCCTAGGGACATAGTCAAGTTATACAATATGATTTTCCTAACTCTCTTAGATAATTAAAAAGTTAAACTATTTAGAAAACCAAAACCCCTAAAAATTTAAATCCCTTAGTTCTGGACAGAATTGGGCCAAATGGCAAAGAGATAATACTGACCAGATAGCTCTCAATTTACTACCTAAAAAACAAAGTTTATAAAGGTTCAAGGCCCTAACTGGAGTTAGTTTTTCCAAAATTGCCTATTTTATTCCAAAAGGCTACCAGGGATGAGTCATTTGTCCCAGAATGCCCATGTAGGAAATTCTCCCTGTGAAATGTACTTGTATTTTTCTCTTAAATTCCAAAGAGGAACACAACACTGGATAACTTCCGCAGATAAAGACTAGAAGAGCAATATATCCTTGCCAGATAAGAGCTCATTATAAGACCAGGGACCACCAGGTGATGTGGTGGTTAAGGTGCTGGACATTCCCAAATGGCCTGCCACAGTTCAAGTCCTGGATCTGGTGGCTTTCTTTCTTTCTCTCTCTAGTCAAACCTAAGTAAAATGAATGAATAAATAAAATTAAAATAGACAATTAAAAAAAAAAAAAAAAGAGAGCGAGCGAGCAAGCTCATATAAGACCAAAAACTGCAGGCATGTTATCAACCCCAAAGTTCTTCTTGTCAAAGGGTTAGCAAACCCCATACCATTCACAAAAATTCAAATTAGACTCCAAACTAGAACATGTATAATCTAAATGGATATAATTAATCATTTAAGCTGGCTCAAAAGCTATGGTTATAACCTTATCTCTGAATATTTTAGTTTCTGAAGCATTGTTAATAAATCAGCTTATTTTATTCAACTACTACAAGTTCATTAACAAAAAATGTAAGCCACATAATACATTTTCAGCTGAAAAATATTCTTATGCAGTGACTCACTCAAAATGAAAGTATTTAAAGATCTCGTTTTCCTGAAAAATCCACAGCATTTTTCCAGGAGGTGAGGGGTTTTTTTTAAGAGTATACATTTATGGCATAGTATAGGACAGAAGGAACATTTTCCACCGATCTTCACTCACAACGTAGCTGGGTGTTCTATTAAACCTTACCAAAGAGTACAGAAAGAAGACCTTTGCGTATGATACAGCGCTTGAAAGTCATCCACATTAATTGTGGTTCTTTGGGTTAAAGATTACTTCAAATGGAAACAACATTCTAGTTCTTGAAAGACAGCTTAAATAGCACTAGGCTAGTAGAAAAATGTTCTACTCCAGATAGAAACTCTTGCTCTAACTCTGAAAATATTATGGCAGGGG